CAGAGATCTTAAGAGAAAACAAGAAAAAGAATAGGTTTTTCTTCATAAAACCTAAAAAAATTCATATTTCAAAAACATGCCAACATTATAAGTATATATAAAAGCTAAACAAAGTAGAAAAAATTTAGCCCATACAACAAAGGACTTACATTGGAAAAATGACGTATTTTTCTAAGCAATAATGTGTCATAACTTTTCTAACCCAACAGAACTTCTACACATAAATAAGAACTTTGAAAAAAAATATATAAACGATAAAAATGGTAAAAACAAAACAAAACCCTCTCAAGAGCTAAATCTCTTAAAACCACGAAATGACTAACTCAGGTACAGAATATCATGATCTGAATTTTCCAAAATATAAATATGAGAGAAAGTACCACAAACACAAGAGCAAAACAAACTTTTAATCATTTCACACTTTGGTGTATTTGTGTGGGTGACATTACGGTTGGCTCATACAAGAACCAGTTATGTTCCTACTAGTTTTCTGATATAACTAAAAATAAAATTTACTGCAGTGGAACTTATTTTTACAGAACTGAAGTTAAACCAATGATGATCTAATCACATTCATAATGGGCTTTTTTCCTTCCCTCATAAGATACTTGTATAGTAACACTACATAAGAGAATAAACTACCTATGTTGGGTGATGTCTAGATTAAGTGTACATGAAATTCAAAAATTACTACTGTGGTTCCAAACTGGATAATGGGGATGGCAAGCTAAATTAGGTAATTACTAATTTTATCTCCAGACTTTAAGGGTCAGGAGTTAAACTGCACAGAGAAGAAATTTCCCATGACATGGTCCACAGTACCTTGCTTCTGAGAAACAAAGCTACTCCCAGAGGATGCATAGAGAAGGATGAAATCACTAGTAGAGAATTTATGTTCCACATGTAGAAATTGGTCCACATGAAAATTGGCAAAAAAGATTTAATATAAGAAATTGATGATTCTTCAGGCTTGAACATTGCCAATGACATTAAATCAGTATGTTACTTGGTGATGTATGTCAGGAGCCACAAAAACTTCCAGCCCTTTGACAGAGTAACTCTATTTCTAGAAATCCATTATAAGAAACCTCTACTAGTACTACTATTACTAAATTACAGTTAAATCACTTGATGAAATATTATTTAGCCTTTTAACAAAAAAGGTGTACTTATAATGGAAAAACTTCTAAGTCATATTACAACTATATATGGAATCAAACAAAAACGTCCATTAAAAAAGATACTGGTTTGTATAGAACAAAATGCTAATTTAATCCTTATGGAGCTATCAGGATTATTGCAGAAGTCTGTGAATCCATGTGTACCTAAGCACCTTCTCAAACATCAAACACTAAGAATACCATTACTATTAGATCACAGTATCTTTTGGTGTTAAAAAAAATGGAAACCATATTCTGAGGTTGAGATTAAAACAAGGATGCCTACTCTTACCATTTCTACTCAGCATTGTACTGAAGGTCTTGGCCATTGCAATAGGCAAGAGAAAGAAGGAGCCACTCCCAAAGAGGGCAAGGAAAGACTCCTTATCTTGTATCTCACCTATTCATCTGTAACCTTTGTAATATCCTTTAAAATAGGTGAATATAAATAAAGTATTTCCCTCAGTTCTGTGAGCCAGACAACTAAGTAAGCCCAAAGAAGGGTTTGTAAGAACCCTGATTAATGGTAAGCCAGTCAGAAGCACAGGTTGTAGGGGCTGGCAGGTGGTGTGGTGGTTAAGGCGCTGGACTCCCACATGGTTCATCAAGGTTGAAGTCCTGGACCTGCCTGCTTGCTTTCTTACTTTTTCTCTCTCTCTCCAGTCAAATTAAAAACTAATAAATAAAATAAAATAAAAAATTCTTTAAAAAAAAAGTGGCACAGGTCACAATTTGTACTTTTAGACTGGCATCTGCAGTGAGGGGACAATCTTGGCGGACTGAACCCTCAATCTGTGGGCTATCTGATGCTAGATCCAGATAGATAGTGTTGGCACAGAACGGAATTAGAGGATACCCAGCTAGTATTTGCTACAGAATTAATTGTTTACTTGTAGGTAGGAAGAAATCATCACACATTCTGGTGACTAGAGGTCACAGAAGTTTTCTATGTTGTATTAAGAGTAGAGAATAGGGAACACACTTTTTTTTTCCCCTAAATTTCTTAGATTCCATCAAATAGGAGAATAGACTGTGGTTATTCATACAATGTGGTCATCAAACAATTCGTTATTACTCAACAATAAAAAGGAACAAGCTACGGGTACTTTTACAACATGGATAAATGTCGAAACATGGTAAAAAAGGTCTTATAAAAAAAAGAGTACAACCGGGAACCAGCAGTTAGTGTAATGGCTATGTCGCTGGACTCCCATGTAGTCGCCCGTGGTTCGCTTCCCAGACCCGGTGGCTTAAAACTCATGCCGGGCGCGTGTGCGTGCATGCCCAGGATCCCGGGAGGAGAATGGAAGAGAAGGGATTGCGGCATGACCATCCCCCAGGGAGTGATTTCTCGCTTTCTGTCTCTATGTCTCTCTCTGTCTGTCTGGCGAGCGCACGCGCCCTACAGCAAAAAAACCTCTCAAAAAAAAAAAAAAAAGAGTACAACCATATGGTGTCCTTTATATGAAGTTCTAGAAGCAGCAAACTAATATTTGGTAGAAAAAAAAATATCAGAACAAGTAGTTGAGAGAGGTTAGGGTGGGGATTGGCTAGAGGTGTTTACGAATACTTTGGGGATGACAGTAATGCTCTTTATCTTGACAGAGAATTGGGTTATACAAATACAGGTATTTGTCAACACTCAGTCTATGTACACTTAATAATATAATTGTATAAAAATTTACCTCAAAAGGAAAAGAAATTGTAAAGAATTATTGAACTGAAATTAACGATGAGAATGCTGAAATATTTAGTGGAATATATTTTGATGTCTGTAATTTTTTTTGAAACACATTTAAAAAGAAAAAAGATGTAATTACGTTGCTAGACTCCCATGTTAACTGTGGTTCAAGTCCCAGACCAGGTGGCTTGAAAAATCACACCAGGAACATGTGTGTGTGCCTAAAATCCTGAGAGAAAAACAAAGAAGGGATTGCTGCATGACTATCCCATTAGGGGGATAATTTCTCACTTTCCTTCTTACTGTCTCTGTCTCTCTCCAGTGAGCACATGTGCCCTAAGGAATAAAACTCTTTTTTTTTTTTTTTTGAGAGGTTTTTGCTAGTGCGCGTGCACTTGCTAGAAAGACAGAGAGAGACAAAGAGACAGAAAGCGAGAAGTCACCCCCCCAGGGGGGAAGGCCACGCCACAATCACTTCTCCTCCATTCTCCTCTCGGGATCTTGGGCACACACGCATACATGCCAGGCGTGAGTTTAAGGCACCAGGTCCAGGACTTGAACCGTGCAGGACTAGATGGGAGTCCAGCAACATAGCCATTACGCTAACTGCTGGTCCCCAAAAAACTCTTAAAAAAAACAGATGGACCAATGAACAAATAGATGGATAAAAGAGTGGAAAAAAACAGGTATAGTAATGTTAATAATAAAATTTAGGAACATAAAATTTGGGTACATAAAAATTCATAGTAAAATTTTTCAACTTTTCTGTATATTAATTTTTTTAAAATAAAATATTGTGGGAAAAACAAAAACCAGTCTTGATTTTGACAGAATATTATATTTTAATTATTTTTTCCTATTTTCTAAGTTCTCTATAATGTACTACAGTCTTCATCACTTTTTTTTTGGGAGAGGTTTTTGCTATGGGGTGCATGCGCTCGCCAGAAAGAGAGAGAGACAGAAAAACAGAAAGTCAGAAATCACCCCCAAGGGGGTAAGGCCATGCTGCAATCCCTTGTCCTCCACTCTCCTCTCGGGATCTTGGACACACATGAACACGCGCCCGGCGTGAATTTAAGCCACAGGGTCCAGGACTTAAAATGCAGTCGGCTATATGGGAGTCCAGTGACATAGCCATTATGCCAACTGCTGGTCCCTAATTTTTATTTTTTTAAGAGAGATTTTTGCTATTGGGTGCAGGTACTCACTGGAGAGATAGAGACAAAGAGACAGAAAAAAGTGAGAAATCACCCCCAAAGGAGATGGCCATACCACAATCCCTTCTCCTTCATGCTCCTCTTGGGATTTTGGGCATACACACACATGCACCTGGCATGAGTTTCAAGTCCAGGCAGGACTTGAACCATGGTTGAATATGTGGGAGATCAGTGACATAACCATTATGCCATCTGCTGGTCCCCAGTATTCATAATTTTAAACATTAAAATCAATGGGCATTTATGAAAATAATCAAATGTAAATTATTTCAAAACAAGTTCAAAATCTCACTTTAGAGTCAATGAAAGCAAAATTTATTATTTTTAAATGCACTATTATAATTAAAAACTTCAAAAATTTGATTATATAGCAAGTCTACTTTTGACTAATTAAACATCTTAAAAGAATTACACGTACTATTAAAGTTTTTTCTTCTACTGCCTTACATTAAACTTTTCTCTATTCAAAAACCTCCCCCACATCATTCTGTGTTAATGTAAGCTTACTTAAAAGTACATCATTTCTTTTTAAGACTCTGTAGTAACCAATCAGGACAATATTTCTTAGGAAATCTGAGTTGGCTGTTTACTTTCAAAAAGGCTTTATCTTCAAAAAAGCACAAGCTTTATGCCAGGTGCTAGTCAATTGTGTCTTGTTAATTTCCAAAATAAACAGAGGAGAGTGCCATGCAATTTCCATTACACACACTTCACCATTAGTATCAGGGTTTATTAGCTTGACACTGCTCCAGGAATAATGGTTTCATTCCTCACTGAAATAAAATAATGTGTCACATAACTCAGCAATGCGGAACTTCTGAAAAATGTTGTCATGTTAAGCACGGTCATATTTTTCAGTTTCCATTATGCCAAAACAAAGGCCATTTGCTATAGAGAACTCACTCGGCGCATGGAGAATTCTTGCATGGGCCTTAGACTTACCTCATTGCTATGTCATATGATTCCGGATGAATACAAGTTTGGTCCAAAGGATCTGGCTTCAGTACAACATTTGCTGTAGTTTTGTTCTTCTTTTTGCCCTGCTTCTCATTTGTGACCTCAACACCTGCTGAAGACATCACAGGAACTCCTTGAATTTGGCCTGAAGATTGAGTCTGCTGACTATATAGTCATTCAAAATCAGAAAACAAAAGAAAACAAATTTTTAAAAGGAAAAAGGTTGGACAGAGCAGAGAGATTTTAATTTAAAATGTACTCATTTATCTGCTATACACATAGAACAAAAACAGCATCCGGATTATGACCATTCCCTTTACAAAAACTACCACTTAACCCATTGTTAACAGGGCCTTCTGTTACTTAAAACCAAAAACATTCTTAAACAGATTCAATCTGTAGAGTTGACTCTAGAAGAGAACAGAGAAAAATGAGGAAATAAAGAGGCATGGTATCCCATTTCTGTAGTCCCAGCTACTCAGGAAGCTGAAGCAGGAGGATCTCGAGTTTGAGGCCTGCCTGCCTGGGCAATATGGCAAGATCCTATTTCATAAATGAACAAATAAGAATAAAATGAAGAAAACCACATAAGTTTCCAAATGAACCTACTGAGTATAAAGCAGTGTCAATAGAAAAATATCATCCTTGATATATTGTCAGGAAACTTTAGAACATGAATAATTTTTAAAACTTCTAAAGGCTTTCAAAGAGAAAAACAAAACATAACTTTAAAGGGAATTAGAACAAGACTGTCATCAAATTTCTCATTGGCAAACATCAGATGTCAAAATAGTAGAACAATATCTCAAAAGTTCAGAGAGAAAATTATTATTTAAAAAAAATTATTTTTTGAGATTTTTGTTATAGGGTACATGTACTTGCTGGAGAGACAGAAAAAAACAGAGAGATAGAAAGTGAGAAATCATCCCCCCAGGGAGGATAGCCATGCAGCAATCCTTTATCCTCCATTTTCCACTCAGTATTTTGGGCATGCATGCACACACACCTAGCCTGAGTTTTAAGGAGCGGGTCTGGGGCTCAAATCTCAGTCAACTACATGGGAGTCCAGCAACGTAACCATCTGCTGGTCCCCAGAGAGAAAATTATTTTGAATCTAGAATCAATGCCTAGCCAAACTTGCATTCAAGTAGTAAGGCAAATTAAAATAATTTCCAGACACGTAAGGACTTAAAAATAACTCAGGATACTCTCTCTCTAAAAAAAAATTAAGAATAAAACAACAAATTCAAGAAAAATAGTAATACAGGAAACAGTAATGAACATAGAAATCATAACAATTTAAGTTTAACTACTATTGAATAATGTAAAAAAATATATACAAATTAAAAAAAAAAACAGTCTGGGGTCAGCAGGTGGAGTGGACTCTTGGACCTTGAAAATCATGCCAGGTATGTGTATGTGCATGCCCAAAATTCTGAGAGGAGACTAGGGGAGAAGGAATTGCGGCATGGCCATTCCCCTGAGAGGGTGATTTCTCACTTTCCTTCTCATTTTTTTCTGTCTCTGTCTCTCTCTGGTGAGTGCACATGTCCTATAATAAAAACAAACAAAAGCAAAATGATCAATCTGAAAATAAAATCCCATGTCATCTCATCATAAGAGACAGAGTTGAAGAGAAGAGGTTGAGAAGAGTCTTAAGTTATTAATCTTCTCTGGGAGATGGAAAGAGAGATCTTTTACCTGTAGAGGTCGACCAAAACAAATTTAAAGACAATCAACAGAAAAATAGGAGTAAGATGTACAATTTTGAAATCACTGAGAAAAGATAAAGATGAAATGAGAAAAATAAGAAGAGAAGTGAGAAGAAAGCTTGTTAACTAAGAAATTCAACAAACAGTATAAAAGGAAAAAAATCAGAAAGCATGATGAAAAGAAAATAGATAATAAGGTAGAAGATTAAGTCCAAACATATCAAGAAATATAGTAAATGTGAATGTATTAATATCAGAGTGAGCAAAACCATGAAATTCAGCTACATGCTTTAAAAGAGCCATAATGAACATTTAACACCATATAAAGTATTTGAATTGAAATACTAAGCATAGTCTAAAAAGGCATACTCAGTAGCACTTATGCTAGGAAACAAAATAAATTTCAAAGCAAAAAACAATAAATAAGATAGCAATATGCTACTCTAAATGGAGCTTTAACAGTTATGAATATCCTAGTACCTAATCAGTTGAAGAAATATAAGGCTGGCTACTTCATCTCATTCAAAACTCTGCTCCAGTAACTTTTCAATTAAAAACAACCTGGGGACCAGCAGTTGGCATAATGGCTATGTCGCTGGACTGCCATGTAGTCAACCGCAGTTTGAGTCCTGGATCTGGTGGCTTAAACTCATTCCAGGCGTGAGCGCGTGCGTGCGTGCCCAAGATTCCAAGAGAAGAATGGAGGAGAAGGGATTGTGGTGTGGCCATCCCCCCTGGGGGGGTGATTTCTCATTTTCTGTCTCTCTCTGTCTTTCTGGCAAATACACAGGTCCTATAGCAATCCCCCCCCCAAAAAAAAAAACCCTGAATATTCATTGATAAGGTAATATTAAATTAATATGACTAGTTATATTAAGGTTCATAGATGCAATTAAATATTATGTAGACATTATAAACAATAGGAAAAATGTGAGTCTATATATAATAATTTAGAAAGAGATCTGAAATATAAGATTGAAATAAAGCAAGTTTCAAATATAAGAGTTGCATAGTATGAGCCCTTCTATATGCATTTTATTATTATATTTTAGAGAGATTTTTGCTATAAGGCCTGTGCACTCACTGGAGAGATAGAGAGACAGAAGGCAGGAAAGAAATCACCTCCTCACCCCCCGAGAGGGATAGCCATGCTGCAATCCCTTCTACTCCATTCTCCTTTCAGGGTTTTGGGCACACACTCATGTACACATGTCCAGCCTGAGTTTCAAGCTGTTAGGTCTGGGACTCAAATAGTGGTTGACCATGTGGGAGTCCAGTGACATAACCTTTATGCCATCTGCCAGTCCCCTTTATGCATTTTTAAAAGAATAAACACATTGGGGCAGTGGGTGGCATGGTGGTTAAGGTAACAGGATCCCACATGGCTGAGTAAGCGGTTGAGTCCCAGATCTGTTGGCTTGAAAGACACTGGCTATGCATGTGTGCATGCCCCAAATCCCAAAGAAATAGAGGAAGGATAAGGATTGCAACATAACCACGCCTCATGAGGGGATGTGCTTTTTCAATTCACCCTCCATCTCTGGTGAGTACACACTCCCTCCGGTAAATTTTTTAAAATAAGAAAAAAATATATAAATACATATATACAAGGGGACATAACATAAATTTACTTTCTGGAAGCAACACGTAAGAAACTATACTTGAAGTGAGAGATTGAGATACCTTTTACTTTTCATTTTAGTCTTTCTTACACTGTTTACATTTTCTAACTAAGTTTTTAAAAACATTAACAAATGTAAGATTATTTTATGTCATTGCTTTTTACTTTTGGCTTTGAAGTTTTGAGACTTACTTAGAAAGAACTTCCATATCCTGTAAAATTTGCATGTTTTCTTCTGTTACTTCTATAGTTAGATTTTTTACATTTAATTCCATGACCCATATGGAATTTCTTTGGGTATGAGGAGTGAGATGAGGCTACACTTTATACATAAAAATTCCTGCCAATAGTCATAATATCATTTATTGAATAATTAATCAATTTTCCTCCAATATTTGAAATGCTACCTTTATTATAAATTAAATTCCAATTACATTTTGGTGCATTTCAAAACCTATTATGTTCTATTTCTACATCAATACCAAACTGTTTAATTACTATAGTATATAATCTACTATGTCTTAGGGCTGGTTTTCCTTTTAACTTTTCTACAATAAGGACAATTTTTCCATATGGCCTTTATTATAATTTTGTCAAAATAAAAAAAATGTAAATAAACCATGTACCAAAGTAGAGGATCCATAAAAGTTATTCATTCATGATTATAAAATGTTAACAAGTTGACCTAATTTCTTTGCTTTTCTGCTGTTAGGATTAGAAAATAAGAATTTAGCTCTTAATCTACACAATGGACAACTAATGCTTTGGTCAATTTACGGTGAGGAGAGAGTAGGGGATGCCTGTCTATGCTTAGGGAATAGCTATGTCAGTTTAAAGTGGTCATTGTGAAGTCATCTCTGTGACTTCATCTCATACTAGTCCTTCCCATTTGCTATGTTCCAATCATGCTGGTCTTCACCCCAGTTTTTGGGCAGATCACAGTAGGTACTAGTTCAGGATTCTGCACTTAGTGCTTGCTTCACCTGGAATGCTTTTCCTTTTTTCTTTTTTTCGAGAGGTTTTTGCTATAAGGGCGCATGTGCTCGGCAGAAAGACAAAAGAGTGAGAAATCACCACCACCCCCCACCACCCCTGGGGGATAGCCACGCCACAATCCCTTCTCTTCCATTCTCCTCTAGAGATTTTGGGGGCACGCACACATTCGCGCCCCGCGTGTTTAAGCCACAGGGTCCAGGACTCAAACTGTGGTCGACCACATCGGAGTCTAGTGACATAGCCATTACGCCAACTGCTAGTCCCCTGGAATGTTTTCCTTTTGATCCCTGTGTGGTTTGCTCCTTCATCTCATTCAAGTCTGCTCCATTAACTTCTCATTAACTTCTCAATAAATAACTCATCCAAAGCAGTTATGCTGCTCTCCAAGAATGTCACATCTGTCTGTTTTAGTATTTTTATTAAATTTTTTTTTCAGTTTTTGCCATAGGGCACATGCACTTGTCAGAGAGAGATAGAGAAAGGGAAAGGAGAAATCACCCTGCAGGGGGGATGACCACGCCACAATCGCTTCTCATTTGCCTCTTGGGATTTTGAGCATGCATGCACTTGTGTCTGGAGAGATTTTCAAACTGCTATATCTGGGACTGGAACTGTGACCAGCCATGTGGAAGTACAGCAACTTAACCATCAGGTCACCCTCTGGTTCCACTCTGTTTTAATTTTTAAAGCACTTATTTCCATCTGAAACTACTCATGTTACTAGTTTACTGTCTAGCTCACACATTAATATAACTACAGGAGGGTAGAAAATTTGCTAACTTATTCACAGCTGTATCCCTAGTGCATAGCAAAGAACAAAGGGATACATGTGCACCTAGAGTTTATGCTAGTCAGCACACACACACAGTGTAATAGCAAGAAAAGAGGTTGATATCAGAACCAAAAGTATACACTTTAATAATCACCTGCAAAATGTTCGAATATAATCCTGGTTGATTCTGATGAAGCCAGCACACTGCTGGAAGGATTTTGGACCCAGCCCTTTCACTTTCTTCAGTTGTTCTCGGTTAACAAAGGGTCCGTTTTTCTCTCGCCATTCAATAATATTTTTAGCTCTGTTGGCATTGAGTCCTGCAATATGCCTTAAAAAGAAAGACAAACAAAAGAAATGAATATACTAAGTAAGTTTAAAAAAAATTCATCAGAAAAGGCAATAAAATAAAACATTTGTCACATGTCTAAATTTTTTAAAGAACTCTTTAATTCCACTTGTTATTATTATTATTTAATTTGACAAGAGAGAGAGAAAAAGGAAGAAAAAAAGGAGAAAGCAGGCAGCCAGGTCCAGGACTCGAACTGCAGTCAACCATGTGGGAATCCAGCGTCTTTAACCACCATGCCACCTGCTGGCCCCGGTTCCTCATTTCTTTAAGAATATTTTGCCAGAGAATGTGTATGCTGGGGCTTGAGGAGGGTGCTGAGAAGGCAGCCCTCATGGAGGATGGCCACACTGCACTCTCTTCTCTCAAGATTTTGGGGATATCTGGTGTGTGTTTTCTAGCCACCAGACCCATGACTGTACAGTCAGAAGAGAGAAAGCGAGCTGCCAGGACTGGGACTTGAACCACTGTCGGTCATGTAGGAATCCAGCACCTTTAACCACTATGACCACCTGCCGGCCCCCATATGTCTAAATTAAATTAATCTAAAAGGAGTTAAAGAAAAAGGACAAAGGAAGAATTATCCAAGAGAAAAGGACAACAGAATGCAAACCAATAGCTGTCATAATGATGTTGGTAGCTCGTTAATACTGATGAAAAAAAAAAATCACTGTTTCCCACAATACTTCTACACTATTCACATTCCTAGTATTTCTGAATGAAGTAACATTTATGTTCCACTTAAAGATTGAGCTATGGGACCAGCAGGTGGTGTAATGATTAAGGCACTATACTCCCACATGGCCACAGTTCAAGTCCCAGATCTGGCAGTTTGAAACTCACACCAAGCTGTGAAATGAATCACCCCCTGGAGGGGGGGAGATGAGATGATTTCTCACTTTCTTTCTCTCTGTCTCTCCAGTGAGCACACACACCCTAAAGCAAAAATTTCTCTCAAGAAAATTGAGTTAATAGAAGTAATAATAGCTACAACTATGTTTACTAGCCCCCACTTTTGTCAGCCTGTTCTCATTAATTCAGAGTTGAACTATAAAAGGTACTTACCCATGAATGTCATGGTAAGTATATAAACATGAAAACTAGGGCCCAGCAGGTGGCGTGGTGGTTAAGGCACTGGATCTCTATATAGCAGACTGTGATTCAAGTCCTGGACCCAGAAGCTTAAAAATCATGCCAGGTGTATATCCAAGATCCCAAGAGGAGAATAGAGGAGGGAATATAGCATGGCCATCACCCATGGTGTGATTTTTCATTTTCTTTCTCTCTCTCTCTCTTTGTCTCTCTCCGGAGAGTGAGCATACAGGCCCCGTGGCGAAAACCTAAAAATAAAATTAATAAAATCAACTTTACAATAAAATAAAATGAGAACTATATCATTAGGCAATTTGCTTGGTGTTAATTAAAAGATGATTTTTTCAGAGAATCTTGACAGTATTATGTAACTCCACTTAAGAAATTATGTAATGTTTGTAGCTAGCTTATGGCATGGTGGTTAAGGCAGCTGGATTCCACAAGCCTGACTGCATGGTTCAAGTCCTGGACCCAGTGGCTTGTGAAACATCTTGGGTATGTGTGTGTCTGTGCCCAAAATCCTGAAAGGAGGAAGAAATGGAGAAGAAGGAATGGCGGTATGATCATTCCCCATGAAGGTGGGGAGATGTATGTGTGCCTTCTCTCTCTCCTGGTGAGCACACACTGCTTCTGGCAAATGTTTTGTTTGTTTGTTTTAGAGAAATTTTTGTTGTGGGATGCATGTACTTGCTGGAGAGACAGAGAGATAGAAGTGAAAATCAGCCTCAAGGGGGTCTGGCCACACTGCAAATCTCTTTTCCTCCATTTTCCCTTGTGACTTTGGGCACACATGCACATACTCCCAGCGTGAGTTTTAGGCTGCCAGGTCTGGGACTCAAACCATGGTCAACTATGTGGGAGTCCAGCAATGTAACCATTATGCCATCTGCTGCTGTCTCTGGCAAATTTTTGAAAAAGAGAAAAAGAAAAGCAATATCTAAAACTGTAAGAGATATTTTCTATTACATATTCGGGTTGTCGGAAAAGTTGTGTACATATTTGCACAGAAAAAAATGTCATGACTTTTCCAAGAGATATATCTATATAATTTTTTAAGAGAGATTTTTGCCATAGGGTGTGTGCGCTAGATGGAGAGACAGAGAGACAGAAAGCAAGGAATCACTCCCCAGGGGGGATAGCCACACTGCAATCCCTTCTCTTCCATTCTCCTCTCAGGATTTTGGGCATGCAAGCACACACACCCGGCATGAGTTTAAGCCATTTGGTCCAGGACTTGAACCCTGGTGAACTATGTGAGAGTACAACATAACCATCTGCCGGTCTTAAGCCCAATATTTTTAATAAAAAAAAATAGATTGTTTCATCTTGCATCAGCAGACTTATGTAATAAATGAAAGCTATGAACAGAAAAGCATTTCTATAACCACACGAAAAATAAAGAAGTGTGTAAGATGTGATTACGGTATGATAAAAATTTTGATAGGTGACTTGTAGAATCAGGGCAAAAACATGGCAACCATACCTTGACTCAGAGCTTATCTTTGGTTACTGCTACCTTTAACAGGTACATGCAAGAGACTGAACTAGTAAAAAAAAATCTTCTCTCATCTAGTGGGAAACAGCTTGCTCAATGTTAACCTATTTTAATTCTGTTAGCAACACTAATGTACTTGATGGTTACCACCATGCTCTTCACTTCAGATTTGTAATATTAAAAATAATATGGAACCAGCAAACAGCTTAATGATTATGTTGCTGGACTCCCACACAACCAACTGCAGTTCGAGTCCCAGACCCAGAGCCTTGAAACTCATAACAGGTGCATGTGCATGCATGCCCAAAATCCTGAGAGGAGAATGGAGGGGAAGGGACTGCAGCGTGGCCATTCAATTTCTTGATTTCTGTCTCTCTGGCAAGTACATGTGCCCTATAGCAAAAATTACTCTTAAAAAAAAGAGATAGCGTGAATTGTTAGAAATTGTATCTTAAATGATGCCTTCCTCTCTAATGACCTAAAGCAATGTATAAACCCATAGATTTTGTATACTTGACAACTTTATACATGTGTTCCCTTGTTCTAGCTGAGTTTGAACCGGATAGCCAGTTAAACTCTAGATTCTGGGATCTTCTTGTCAGACTTATTATTTCAGACTTCTTTTATCACCTTAACAAAACTTCTGAACAGATGTTAATATCCACTCCCACAAAGCTGACACATTCTTCTACAACACTGTCCAGTGTTGCCTTGAGTAATGTCTGGGATACATCATGCTGAAAAGACAAAGAAAACATCAATGAGAAGTCAAGAAGATGCAGTTCTTAGACTGTTTCATTATGCTGCCTATATTACTAGTGGATGACTAACACATACCATGGTAAATGTTTCATTCCTTGAAAACGCAGTTAGCAGATGTAAATTGAGCTGAATTTAAGGAATCTGTGTTTTCTTACTCGCTACACTACTAATACACCTGATTTGAATATAACACCACCAGTATTTTTCTTTTGTCTGAAATTCTGCCTAGATCAGTGTTTTCAAACTTTCGCTTGTATCATAAATCACCTGCATGGCTTGTTAAACCACAGGCTGATGAGCCTCCCATTCTGAGTTTCAATTCTGCATTCTGTCAAGTCCCCAGGTAATACCGTGGCAGTTAAACCACACTTTGAGGCATACAGGACTCTATCAATTCATGCATTCTCTCATTATGATCATTTGTACATGTATTTTGTTCCTGATGTTCTTAAGAAAACAATAGGAAGCAGTATTATAATACTCAATAAACTGGACAGTAAATCAAACTATGTTTCTCCAAATTGAAATCAGTATCATTTATATGAAGCACCATTATTTTATTTACCACTAATAAAATACACTGTTAATTAAACCATAACATATTTTTTATTGCTTAGAATTTTAAATTTTACTTTTTAAATATCAAAAGAGCTCTTTTAGACTTAGCAACTTTAGAAATCATATATCATATATAAATATAAAGGGAAATATAAGCAATGTAAACTGGTTAAAGTATTCCTAAAAGTTTTTCACATTCACAGTTCAGCTCCTCTGAATCACTTTAATAGAGTCACAGATGTCAAGTTCTTCCATGTATTATTATTTTTTTGTATCAAGTCCCTTGGTAAATGTATCATTTCTTGAAAGAGCAATGCTCTATTGTTTCTGGAGTTTTCTTTCAAGATTCACATGCTCATTCTTTGAAGAGAGTAGTCCTATCTTAATCTTTTTTATTTTTGGAGAGGTTTTTGCTATAGGGTGCGTGCGCTCGACAGAAAGACAGAGAAAGACAGAGAGATAGAAAGTGAGACATCACCCCCCAGGGATGGCCATGCTGCAATCCCTTCTCCTCCATTCTCTTCTTGGGATCTTAGGCACATATGCACACGCACCCGGCGTGAGTTTAAGCCACTAGGTCTGGGACTCAAACCACAGTCAACTACATGGGAGTCCAGCGACATAGCCATTATGCTAACTGCTGGTCCCCCTATCTTAATCTTAACAGAAGGCACTAACAGAAGAAATTTTAGACTGCAATGAAATTCCTATTCCTTCCTTAAAGGTTCTTTAATGGTTATTTTTCAACAGCCTGTTAACTGAAAGGATGAAAAGTCTGTATGCAGTTCAGTCCCTCCAGCCTTAAAAGCCAAGCTCATGCAGAAATCACACCATGATTTACCTTGGGGTCAACAGCATCTCATTAAATTACAAGATGCATCCTAATATCAGAGATGAGAAAACATGCAACTGACAATGCATAAAATACAGTATTTGAAAGCAAATATTTGTCAGCTAACTGAATTCAGGTTACTATAATGAATACACTGGTAAAATTCATAATTCTAAAATTAATGACCCTCTACTTGTTATGGAATCGTGAGTCAGTATACTTATCTTTTCCAAACGTTTCAAGGAAACTAGAATGACTAGATTTAAAAAATTACTAATTACTAGATTTAAAAAATCTAATAAGGAGTCGTAATCATGACAAAGATAATAAAGTAAAACCTATGACCTCACTGAGAACCTGATTAAGAAGCTACTCTCTCTCTCTCTTTTTTAAAATCTAAGTAAATAGGAAGCAGCAAAATGAAAGAGGGACTTTTATAAATGAGAAGGGCCTAGCTTCAATGGTGCATGTTGGCAAAATGCTGCTGCTTCACAGGCCAAAGCTATATGGGAAGTCTGGATTTGATTCTTTGCCAACCTGAGGACCAAGCATGGTGCTACATGTCTGTGGTCACAGGTTCTCAGGAGGCTGGGGTAGGAGGATCATACACACTGAGACTTGTCTTAAAAAGAAGAACAAGAGGGTAAAAGACAGAATGACAACATAAAGCCAAGCACAGTGATAGTAACAAGAACAAATCTCTTAAGAAAAAGACAAAACTATAAACAAATAGGATAAAAGAGTAATAGCTGCATGCTATTGGAATAAGGTCAAATAACTCTATATACTTGTAAGCATACCAAAAGCTCGTGATATTTAAATGAGTAAATTTTGGTCTCTGAAACAGACATTTTTGGTCACCTATCCTATCTCTAGCCTCCAACCTCTTTTCTCCTTCCAAATATTAAGAGAAGCCTATGTTTCATGCATCCAACCCACTTCTACAATGGCTATATGCTCCACACCCAGCTAATAATACTAATTGGTTAAAACTAGTGGTTTTTTTAATTGAGGGTTTTGACCAATTAGCAGGTCATAACATTAACTTGGTGGTTTGGCTACCAGCACTGGAAAAAAAAAAATCAAGAAAGAAACAGATTAGACCATTTACATCATGTTATACATATTCTTAAAATGGAATGAACAATACAGTAAATAACACAGCCTACTGACACTATCATGGGAGAGGAATAAAACATAAGCTGGCCAGAATTACATATTTGGTTCACTAAAATCTCAATCTTCTGATACATGACGGGCAGAGAGATTTTTGCTACATGTGCTCGCTGGAGAGACAGAGAGAGACAAAAAGTGAGAAATCACCACCCCCCCTCAAAGGGGGGGGGAATGCCCACACCGTAATCTCTTCTCCATTCTCCTCTTGGGATTTTGGGCATGCATGCACATGCACCTGGCATGAGTTTTAAGCCGCCAGGTCCAAGACTCGAACCATGGTCGACTATGTGGGAGGCCAGCAACATAACCATTATGTCATCTGCTGGCCCCTAATTTGACTACTGGCTGATAAAGAAGTTAAAGAGTAACTTTACAGAGTTAGAAGCAAAGTGCTGTGAAGTTTATCATCTCTTGGCAAAATACTGATTCTTTCAACAATGTTTTGTTAGAAAATTTCAGTGTATTTTTCAAGAAGAATGTTCTTTTTATTTAATTTTTTATTTTTAAAAGTTTACTTATTGCCTGAGAGAGAGTCAAAAAGATAGGCAACCTTAGCCATCCAGGACCATGGGCGAACACCCCTGTGTTCAGGGAGACCAAGGACGTGAACCTAGAGCCTTCTCATATGGTCTCAGTAGCACACAACAGCATTTCTATTGCTTGCACCACCATGGCTGGGCCTGCAAAGAATGTTATTGAATATAGTATTTTCAAAATTCTCAGCAATTGTAATTTTTTTTTTTTTTGGAGAGATTTTTTCCCCCCCCTGCTATAGGGTGCGTGTGCTCACCAGAAAGTCAGAGAGAGACAGAGAGAGAGAAAGCGAGAAATCACCCCCAGGGGGGATGGCTACGCTGCAATCCCTTCTCCTCCATTCTCCTCTCGGAATCTTAGGTACACACGCACACGCTCCTGGCATGACTTTAAGCCACCGGGTCCGGGACTTGAACTGTGGTCGGCTACATGGGAGTTCAGTGACATAACCACTGCGCTAACTGCTGGTCCCAGCAATTGTACTATTTTAACTAAGTTAGTACAAGTTACTTTTGAAGTAAATCATTTTACTCTTGGCAGAAAAAAGTAATGAAAGTAGTAGAGAGAAGCTACTATTTTTGGTTTTTAAAACTTGCCATGGGGGACACCTGCTTGCTGGGGAAAGGGTGAGAGAGGGAAAGCAAGAAAGCACCACCTTTGTGCTTTGGCCATGTGTCTATCTCTTCTTCTCCATTTCTTACTCTCTTTGGGATTACAGCATGCATATAATACAATCAGCGTGTTCTCAAGCTGTCAAGTCCAGTACTCAAACCATGCAGTTAGCAATATGGGATCCAGCCACCTTAACCACCATGCCATGGGCCGGCCCAAGGCAAGCTACTAGTAAACTACCAGATATGGAAATGTTAATAGTGACAATACTGAGAGAAAATGTAAACTCAAATCAATAATTTGACTTTACTTGTGCAATATTTTAAACTGAAAACAAATTAGAAGATTTAAAAAAATACTTGATTTAAAAAAATGGTTTTACAAATATGAAAAACTTAGTATGATGACAGACCTCAGACATGTTGTTGCTAACGATCTCTTTGTAGATGACAGTTTAAAAACTTCAAAATTAGAAAACTTAAAAAAAAAACATTTTGAACATCTCTATCAGAATGGCTAAAATGAAAAAGGCAGAAAATGCCAAGTGTTGGGAAGGATGTGAAGCAACTAGAATGCTTAAAACATTATCCTGTTAAGTACATTTTAGGTCAGAAATGCAAGGCAAGGCAGTGATAGGAAGGATTTACTTTGTATGGTTTAAATATAACTTTAGGGGACCAGCACATGGTATAATGGTTACATCACAGGACTGCCATGTACTCGATCGCAGCTCAAGTCCCGGACCCAACAACTTAAAACTTCCACTGGATTTTTTGAGAGTATGCCCCAAATCCTCAGAGGTGACTTGAGAAGGGATGGCAGTGTGGCCATCCTTCTTTGGGGGTGATTTCTCGCTTTCTGTGTCTTTGTCTCTCTCTGACTTTCTGGTGAGTGCACACGCCCAATAGCAAAAATCTCTCAAAAAGTTATAACTTTCTGGGAACCAGCAGTTAGCTTAATGGCTATGTTGCTGGACTCCCACGTAGTCGACCGCATTTTGCGTCCCAGACCCGGTGGCTTAAAACTCACGCCGGGTGCGTGTGCGTGCGTGCCCAAGATCCCGAGAGGAGAATGGAGGAGAAGGGATTGTGGCGTGACCATCCCCCCGGGGGGTGATTTCTTGCTTTCTGTCTCTATGTCTCTCTCTGTCTGTCTGGCGAGCGCACACACCCTATAGCGGGGGGGGGGGGGGAAACTCTCCAAAAAAAAAAAAAGAAAAGAAAAAGTTATAACTTTCAATCAAACTGAATCGGATGTAATTAT